ACAGGACATCCTGATTGGTGACAAGAGAGCATAACTGAGCCTCTGGGGCCCCCATTCCACCTCAGACAGAGTGGTTCCATGGACAATTCCTGCCACCCTGCCCTTCCCATGCACTTGAGTTTTCTCAGACAGATCTGGTTTGAATCCTAGCTCTCTTGCCCCAGACAGTTGGCCACACCAAACAGTTTTCAAAAGTATGTTGCCAGGACTTTCCACCTCAGTCTGGAAGCCCTGTTGAAGCCTGCTCACCATGGATGACCCCGATGGTATTTGAAATACCCATAGCATAGTTTCCAGCATCAGAGCACCATGCAAAGCATCAAAGAATGACAGACTTGACAGATAAGTGGTGGATTAAGCATAAAGAAAATAAAGCCCCTTACAACTGGATTTAAGGAAACAGAAATTCCTGAAGCAGGAGTGGCATCCACTTCCTAAACCACATGCCTATGGAAACTCTATGAACTTGGAGAAATGACAATAGTTACAGAAAGGCATTAGGTCTTTTGTTCATAGAGTCGCTGTGAATCATGTTCAACTCGACGGCAGTTATCAACAGCAATCCCTCATTTACACATTAAAACTCATACTTGATTAAATTCCAATTGGGTGGAGACTTACTGTTGTTATGTACTGTAGAGTTAGAACTGACCCATAGCTTCCCCTCCTGAGGGTTTCCAGAGGCAGTTACAGGGGAGGAGATTACCCATCCTTCTCCCACAGAGCAGCTACTGGCCTCAAACTGTGTGCCTTTGGGATGGCAGCACAACTTCCTGCCATTAGGACAACAGAGCTCCCGGGATGGAGACGAAAGGGTAGTAAATATCAGAGTATCTTTTCAAATGCTTGAGATGACTTATAACCTTATAATTTTAGATTTTTTAACAAAGCAGTGTAACTTCTGTCCCATTTATTTGGATAGTGTTATCCTACTGAGGACAAGGAAATGTGTTTTAAAATATGACAGCCTTCAGCCTCTGTACATGTCAGAAATAGAAAAATAAAACAGCTTACTGTGGGTGTAAAAGAGGCAAAAATCATGTTCTCCTTCAAAAAATAAACATATTCTGTATTCTATATAAATGAGATATTTATTTTTCAGGTACGAAGGATATCTTTTTTTTTTTTCACCAAATTAATTTCAACTCATTTATGCTGTTTACACTTAAACAGAGCTGTGCATCACAAATTACAGGCAGATACATACAATACAATTTAAGTTGTTAATCTCAGCTATGTGGGCATGACTTGTTCTGCCTTGGCAGTTATGCCCAATTTAATGAAAGCTATATTCCACCGTGTACTAGGATCTTTGTTTTTTAAAGGAGGTTTTCATGCACTTCCCTTTACTGCTGCCATAAAATTAAAGAAAAGAGCAGAAGGTAAAGATCTAAATGAAACAAAGTGAAATATGCCTTCGCAGAGGAGAAGAGGAAGAGGCAGGACTTGTCCCAGCTGCAAAGCTGAGCAACGGGACACTGAAGAAACCTGTGCATGTAGTGACCCAATTTTTCTCATAAATAAGGAAGTAAAATGATAGTGTTCAGTTGTACATCCTCAGTTAAAGTTTTAAAAACTTCTGTTACATAAAAAGTCAATGATATGAGAATTTGCTGGTATACATTTATTGACAATATGTCTGGCTAGTATCATGGATGCCATTGAAAATCTCCACATCATTCTTTCTTTATCCTCTGTGATGTAAAGGTAAATATTGCCAAGAGGAAAAGCACTAGGTGACAAAGAAAGTATGTGTTTTAGCCAGGGCTAATGTTTATGATGCTTAAAAAACACAAAGTATTTTATTTAAGGGTCTGAATGCCTTAAGTGCCAGAAAAATATGTAGAAGGGAAGATCCAGCAGGGATCTAAAAAGACACAGTAATAGTGGGCATAGATAAATGGTGATCAATTTTATAAGACGTACCGTATGGGAATGATTGATTGAAACACAACATAAATGAAGAAAAAAATAAAACACTCCCACTCCCCCCCCCCAAAAAAAAGGTTTATAGCGACATTAAGGAGCTGCACAGCCATACCAAAGGCAGGCAGTTCCAACCCACCAGTTGCTTCGTGGGAGAAAGATGGGCAATCTCTTCCAATCTCTTCCCGTGCAATTTCAGCCTCTGAAAACCCACTGGAAGATCAACTTTGAGTTGGTTCTGATTTGACAGCAATGAGTTGAATTTTTGTGATATATATTTTAAAATTCTCTTTGACAGTTTTTGGTTTTTTTCTTTAAGTTCAGTCTTTCAACTATCACTGGTTCGACTCCTGATTATGTGTTGCAAAGTACAACTGCGCCATAGGGTTTTCTTAGCTTACTCTTTACAGAAGCAGTTCGCCAGGCCTTTCTTCCATGGAGCCACTGGTTGGGCTTGAACCACCAACCTTTAGGGTAGCAGCCAATCTCCAACATCTTGTGCTACTCAGGTTCCTGAACAATCTATTGTGTTATATAATGCTGAATTGGAGCCAACCCATAGTTGATCTTCCAGTGGATTTTCAGATACTGTAAATTACACAGGAGGAAGTTGCACATCTTTCTCCCACAGAGAAACTGGTAGATTCAAAACACATGCCTTTGGGACTGCAGTGCAGCTTCTTACCACCAGGCTACCAGAGCTCCCGGAACAATCTATTGTTGCTGTGTACCAGCTAGTCAGAACTGACCCATAGCCGATACTCTGGTGGATTTTCAGAGGCAGTTAATCACACAGGAAGAGACTGTCCATATTTCCCTTGCAGAGCAGCTGGTGAGTGGATTCAAACTGACTCCCTTTGGGATTGCAGCACAGCTCCTTACCATTAGGCTACTAGAGCCTCTAAATTTCACTTTCCACAGAAATCCAAATGACCACTATGTCAATTATTATAGGTATGTCATGAGAAAAAGGAAAAAAAATTCATACTAAGGATATTTACTTCATCCTTCAGAAAAGATGAAAAATTGGCCCTCTGACTAATACTGACATGTGGACACTTTCTCCCAACTTTTTCATCCAAGTAAATTTCACTTACATGCCATCTAACCATCTTTCAGCTTTAAGAGATGCCCTCCCAAAGACAGCATTGAGAGAGATACCACAAAGTTAAAGTGTTCACCAAGCGTGGTGTGTACATAGAAATGGAACCTTAGCAAATTTAAAATATAAAAGATTGTTGTTGTTGTTGTTGATATGTGCCGTCGAGCTGCTTGCAACTCATAGCGACCCTATGTACAACAGCCCTAAAATCTGCTCTGTTCTGTGCCAATTGCACCATCTCTAATACACCCATCCCAATTACCCCAGTCACTGAATCAATCCACCTCACAGAGGGCCTTCCCCTCCTGCTCTGTCCCTCCACCCTCCCAAGCATGATGTCCTTCTCCAAGGACCAGTATGTTAAAGGGAGCCTCAGAATCGGAGCCTCAGAATTGTTGCCTCCAAAGGAGCCGCCCGGTTTAACCCTTTCCAGGATGAATCTGTTTGTTTTCCTAGCAGTCCATGATACCCTCAATACTCTCCTCCAGCATCACAGCTCAAAGGCATCAATCCTTCTTTTATCCTCCTTAGTCATTGTTCAACTCTCTGATGCATAACAAGTGATTGCAAAGACCATGGCCTGTACCAGCTACACCTTAGTCTCCAGAGAGACACCATTGCTCTTCATTACTAGTAGTAAATTTAAATTAATTCCTTAGATTACAAGATGATGGGTTACATCATAAAGTCTTATTTGTTTTTCAATATTAGTCATTAATATAATCTTAAATGCAAAGAAAAGTTGCCAAAGAAAAATTTTTAAATAGTGTTTACATTATCACAGCCTTAAATATGTCTTTACTGTTTAAATTATTGCCATATGATTTAAAATCATATAAATTCTGTGTACGTTATTGCTTGTAATATCTCTATTTTAAATAATTCCATCTACTACAACATAATTAAAACTGTCACCCATTTCTTAATATCTAATTTCATTGTTATTATTTAATAAGATTTTTAAGTATTAAAAAAAGATTACGGAAGACAATGTTCTTCAAGGTAGATTTAGATAACTGTCATCTTCATATAATAGAAATAATATGTTACAAGTCAATATGCCTACATTATTAAAACTATGTATTTCAATAACCATGACTTTTATCTTTGATGCTTAATTTGTAAAAGCAGAATTCATACTGCAAATTAATTTGCTCATTTGAAAAATGTTAACCTCTGTCTACAATAACAACGTAATTGGTAAAAGGAGAAGATGGGCTGAAGAATTTTAGCTTAAATCAGAAGTTTCCAGGCTCACTCATTTCTCCAATTTAAGAACTACTTTCCTAATTCTTGGAATATAATTTATGTGTTTCTTTGAGGGGAAAAGTCTAATAGTAGTAGAGATTCTTACAGTCTTCATGCATTTTTTATGTGATAAAAAACTATAAAAGTCACAATAAGACAAATATGACATAATGACACTATTATAAAACAGGACTGCTGACATGAGGGTTGGGGACAAACTAAGAAAAGTAGAGATAAATAATGTACATGGCATTGAAACAGATGATGGAGAAAACTGTATAAAAGGAATACTGATTAGGTATTATTGGTATGAAAAGAGTCCAGAATAAGAGCTGCATAAAAATAATTATCTTGGAGGGAAGGGGCAGACTGTATAACAGTGAAAGAACTTTTTTTTTTCCAAAGGAAAAAGTGATCTGGAGGGATAGGGGACAGGGAGGAAAATGTACAATAATGAAGGACTGGAAACCCAAGTTCTTTAAAACCTTCATTAAAATATCAATATAAAAAAACTATAAAAGTTAGAAAAAGGATTTGTATGCAAATCTATTCATTCCTAAAACATCCCTAAACCCCATTTAAAAACCCATGGTCATTTCATTCTGGAGTCACCACATGGCAAATTAACTTCAAAATGTTATTCATTGATTTTATATGTTTAATGGCATTCTCCAAATTAATTGTAACCCGGTTAAGCAAGTGTATTTCCCCTTTACTGCCCCAGTGCGGTTGCTGAAGCTGACGGCATTGCTCCGTTAATAAACACCCTGTCCTGTAAACGAGATGGGGCCATCGCGAACGCGGCCACAGTGCTGACGAACATGGCGATGCAGGAGCCGCTGCGAGCGAGCATCCAGAACCACAGCGTCATGAACGCGATCATCCGGCCCCTGCGCTCCGCCAACACCGTGGTTCAGAGCAAAGTGGCACTCACGGTCGCTGCCACAGCCTGTGATTTCGAGGCTCGGATGGAGGTGAGGAGCAATGGCATTTGTTTACTCACTGGTGGGATCACTACTCATTGATTCATTAAGATGCAACATTTTTAAGTGGGCTACCCATCCCTGAAGTCTTTACAACAAGTACACTTTGGAAAACAAATTGTCAATATCTGTCAAAGTAGGTAAACCGATCCTATCATCCGGCAACTCTATTTCCAGGTGTAAACCTAAGAGAGAATCTCTTACCTCTGTGTGCCAGGAAACAGTGCCTACTAATAGCAGAGTAGCTGTAAAAAAACAAAACCAAAAAAACCCCCAAAAAACAAAAACAACAACACCACCAAAACCAACCAACAAAACAGTTGTCTAATCTCTGAGACCATGGATAAAGAAATTGTATATAAGTGGAGTCTCAATCAATAAACATGAATAAACTACAGCCGCAGTCATCGACATGGAAGAATCTGACAAGCACAGAGCGAGCTGCAGAACACCCACACTATGAGTCCACTTATGCAACATTCCAGTCTATACACAGGAGATGTCTCTGATAGGGACAAAGAACTGATGTCAATGAGAGGAGAGCCCCGGTTCAAGGTCAGAGAACTGTGTATCTCTTAAGGCCGGTGACAGGTAAACTGCAGAGTTCTATACAATTCTTTCTTTCTTTCTATCTATATCTATCTATCTATCTATCTGTCTGTCTATCTATCTATCTAGAATTTTTTTCTTATTTTTGTCTTATATTTCCCCATTTCAAAACAAAGAATTGCTTTTCCCACATCCATTCTAGAAAAGTATCTTTCACAGAGTGGTTGATCCTATTAAATCTTTATTAAAACTTAATGTAAGCCTGCAAACACTATTTTGTCTCACATAAACCTTAACACGACTGATTGACACAGTTACTACAACAATTAAGCACAGCAGAGATGGTGAGGAAGGTGCTGAACTGGACAGTTTTGATCTGTTGGCCATGGAGTTGCTGGGAGATAGAGCCAACATCTAATGGTAATCACCACATGGCAATAACCAAAGGCTTGTGAGAGTCCTTTCTCCCAGTGAACAGCACTAGCTAACATTTATTGTAGGAGCTTTAAGTGGCCTAGTGGGTTGCACTGCCAACCCAAACACAGGCAGTTTGAATCCACAAGCTGCTCACAGGCAAAAGACAGATGGTCTCCTCCCAGGAGATTTACAGCCTCGAAAAAAACATTGGAAGGTCTGCTGTGAGTTAATTCTGACTTGACAGCAATGGGTAAGAGTGAGTGAACAGTGACTGAGCTCCTGCTGTGTGCCAGGCACTGGGCTAAGCACTTCACATGCAGTTAAGTCTCTATGAAGCAGGTACATTTATAATCTTCATTTTACATATGAAGAAAATGAGGTTTAAAGAATGTGCCCAAGGCGAGCTCTGGTGGCCTAGTGGCAAGAAGCTGCACTGCAATCTCAGAGGTACACAGTTCAAATCCACCAGATGCTCTGCTGGAGAAGGAGGAACAATCTCCTCCAGTATCAGTCAGATCTGATTTGACGGTACACACAAAAAATAATGAAATAAAATAAAATTTAAAAAAAAAAAGAATGTGCTCAAAGCAGAGCTGGGAAGTGGCAGATCAGGGACATGAATGCATCCTTCCCACTGCAAAGCCTAAGACTCACACTGTGCTGTCTGCTCTTGATAGAAGGAGATCTTTTTTGACCCAAAGATATCTATCCTCTTCCCTGTATGGCTTTCTTTTGACTCAGCTTCCAGACCAGCTGCCTCAACTCATTCATTCAGTTAGTTTGTTGAAAAACATTTATTTACTAACTACTATGTAGTGGGAAGGTGGAGGGTCAGTGCAGGAGAGGAAGACCTTCGATGAGATGGATTGATTCAGTGACTGGGGTAATGGGGGTAGGTGTGTCAGAGGTGGTGAGACTGGCACATGATAGGGCAGAGTTTAGGGCTGTTGTACATAGGGTTGCTATGAGTTGCAGGTGACTCAATGGCACATAACAACAACATGTAGTGAACTCTTGTGTCCTAGCAGCAAGAAGCTGCTCCACAATCCTAAAGTCTCACAGTTCAAATCCACCAGCTGCTCCACAGGAGAAGGATGGGAAATCTCCGCCTGTGCAATTAACTGACTCTGAAAACCTGCTGGAGGGTCAGCTATAGGTTGGTTCCAAATCTACAGTACACAACAGCAAAAACTATGCACTAGATGTCCTGCCAGGCATTAGGGTGAAAAACCATGCTATTGCCCTATGAAGCTTACAGAGAAGTCTCTCTCTATATACTGAAATATTGCAAGTGATGCCGTATCCCTGCTACTTATTACTCTCTCCCAAGTTGCCACCACTCTGATTTTTCAAATATTTGAAACTGACCTAAAAATAAAAATTAAAAAAAAAAACACCGAAAATCCTCTGGGCACATGAGCAACATCATGATCAACAATAAGAAAGGTGGCAGTCATTGCATTTTTCTTAGATTCAAAACCAACATCCCTGGCATCAGCTGTTAAGGAATCAAGTGATATATTTGTATTGGGCAAATCAAGTACCAAAGATTTCTTGATAATGTTGAAAAGACGTCACCTTGAGGACTAAGAACACTGGACCCAAGCCAAGGCATTTTCAGTTGCCTCATATGCATGTAAAATCTGGACACTGAGGAAGACATGTTGTTGTTTGTTGTTATGTGCCGTCGAGTCGCTTGCGACTCATAGCGACCCTATGTACAACAGCCCTAAACCCTGCTCTATCCCGTGCCAATCTCACTGCCTCTGACACATCCATCCCGATTACCCCAGTCACTGAATCAATTCACCTCATAGAGGGTCTTCCCCTCCTGCGCTGTCCCTCCACCCTCCCAAGCATGATGTCCCTCTCCAAAGACCTGTCTCTCCTTACAACATGTCCAAAGTATGTCAGACGAAGCCCCAGAATCCTTGCCTCCAAGGAGCAGCCTGGTTTAACCCTCTCCAGGATGAATCTATTTGTCTTTTTGGCAGTCCATGGTACATTCAGTACTCTTCTGTACCATGGAGGAAGACATACCAAAGAAAAATGCTTCTGTTTGAGTTGTATTAGTGAAGAGTATTGAATACACACATACCTCACTTATCAACAACTTACGTTCCAAAGACCAGTTTATTAGGTGAAAAGGGGCGAATGACCACATCAGACTATAAAATAAAGGATGATTACATCATTATGTAACTATAAAATTATATCCTTACAAACCAACCAAACTACATTATTGTATGATTGCCAAATAATGTCATTACAACAATCCACTGAGACTCGTGGCCCAGCCACATTGACACCTTGTCTTCACTATCACAGCCAGTACTACTCTCACCTCACATCCTGAAATTTGTTACTGCCAAACATATGTTGCTAATGTGCAAAAATAGGGGGCTAGTAGATTTTTTTAAGGTGGCCATAACTCTAAATGTCTGACAGTGAGATAATTAATAAACGAGGAGTAGGTGTACATTATGGACTTCCAGAAGAATGGGGGCGGGGAAGCAAAACACACCACATCTTAGAGAAAGTACAGCTAGAACGTCCCTTAGAAGAGAGGATGGAGACTTGGTCTTGCTTACCTTGGACATGTCCTCAGGAAGGACCAAGCACTACAGGAAGAAGTCAGTGAAAAAGAGGGAGATCCTCCCTGAGATGGACTGATCAAATAGCCACAACAGTAGATTCAAACTTGGCAATAGCTATGAGGATGGAGCAAAACCAGACAATATTTTGTTCTGTTGCATGTAAAGTGGTAATGAGTCAGCAATAACCCCAGAGCAGCTGTTGTTGTGATCTACTGAGTTGGCACCAACCCCGAGCTGACACCCCAGTAGATTTTCAGAGGCGGTTAATCACATGGGAGGAGACTGTCAGTCCTTCTCCCATGACCCAGCTGACAGATTCTAATTGCATGCTTGTGGAATTGCAGTGCAATTTCTTACCACGTAGGCCACTAGAGCTCCCTGCAGGGCAAGCAGCAACAGGAAACAGTACTGATTCTTCTTTAAAAGCTAGCTTAACCATTCCTCAGTCCTCAAACCAGGCACAGCCTTCTCTGTGCTCGCATTGCACATTATGTATATCACCCTTATTCTTGTTAAGAAGAGAGGAGGCAAGTTATTGTTCTTATCTGAAACATTTAAGTTCTTTCAAGCTTTAAGCCAAGGAACTCCCTGTGTTCATAACATTAAAATATACCTTGTACACAATGCGTGTTCAATTAACACGCCTGGTAGTCTAGGGGCCAGAGAGTAGGATTGCTCACCTGAAGATGGTGCTTCTCTGCTGGTTTGAATCTTCCAGTGGCTCCATGGGAAATAGATGGATTGTCTCCTCCCATGATTTACAGCCTCAGAAAACTCACTGGAGGGTCAGGTCAGCTATGAGGTGGTTCCAACTCTGTAACAATGAGAAAGAGAGAAGTAAATGAAAAGCCTTGATAACTTCAGTTGTTCCATATGTATGTGAACATTACATAGTGAATGAGAAAGATGAAAGAAAAACTGATGGCTTTGAATTATGACATTGTTGTTGTTAGGTGTCACTGAGTCAAGTATGGCTCATAACAACCCTATGAACAAAAGATCTGAACCCTGTTCTATCCTGTGCCATCCTCACACTTCCTGACACACAAGAGCCCATTGCAGCAGTCACTGTGTCAATACACCTGGTTGAGGGTCTTCCTCTCCTTCGCCAACCCTGTATCCTTCCCCGTATCAGGTCCTTCTTCCAGGAATAGCCCCTCCTAGCAATTAGTGAAGAATATTAAATACATTATGGACTCCCAAAAGAACAAAGAAATCAGTCTCAGGTGAACTACAGACAGAGTACCCCTTAGAAATGTCATCATAAATGGAAAATACTGAGTCACTGGGGGAAAATTAAGATCTTTAACAAAATGGTAACACAGTGTCTGCAACAGTGATTTAAAGCACAGCAGAGATTTTGAAGATGACCCGACTGGGCAGGTTTCATTCTGTTGGACACAAGGTGCTGCAAGTCCACGATGCCTCAATGGCACCCAACAACAACAACAGGAATAAATGAGTTAGATCTTTGCCAAGAGAACACATAGAGTTAGATTACTATCTTCTGTTACGTCCAGAAATGAAACACATTCAGAGATTTTGCTGCAAACACAGGGTTCTCCAAGTGAGTTTTTCTACTTAACTAATATGAAACTGCTGCTAGAAAGTTTTGTGTTTTAGATGAGAATGCCTGAGGGTGGAATGTGTCCTGTGGCTGGCTACCTGCCTCCAATTCTCTTATTCAAAGAGAAGATGAGATACTCAAGGACCTTGGAAATGTGGGGTTTTTTTTGGTTTTGTTTTCTGAAGCACTGCTTCGGTTTTACCTTGGCCACATTTCTGACTTGGTGGTAGTGCCCAGCAGCTTCAATGGTGCTGGTGAACACTGATTCCTCCTGCCCACCTTTGGGGTCAGTACTGGTTGCCTATAGCTGCTATAACAAATGTCCACACTTTTGAAATGCTGATGTTCCAAACTCTGAGGTAGTAAGTAATTAGTATTACTGAATTTGTGGACTAAAATCCAAATGTCGGCAGAATTGGCATTCTTCCTGGAGGTTTTAGAGTAAAGCCTGTTACCTTGTCTTTTCCAACTTCTAAAGGCTGCCTGCATTCCCTGACTTGTGACTTATTCCTTGTTGAATCATTCCAACTTTTGGTTCCATTACATCTTTTTTTTTCTTCTTCTGACATTACATTCTTCCTTCCATGAGAACTCTTGTGATTTATCTGAGAATAACAGATAATTCAGGATGATCTCCCAATCTTAAAGATCTTTACTGACATCTGCAAAGTCCCTTCCAAGGACTCAGATAGGATTATTTTTGGTGGCTTATGAGTGGCATCCACTTCCTAAACATGCCTCTGGAAACTCTTTGAACTTTGATAAGAGACAATAGTTGTTGAGGGGTTTCAGGTCTTTTATTCATAGGGTAGCTATGAGTCATGCTGGACTTGATGGCAATCAACAACAACACTCCTTTATCTGCAATATTACTGAATGAACATTCCATGATGGAAGTAAAGACAATAAATATACAGCATCCATTTGTAACCAGTTAGAATGCATGCTCTCTTCCCAGTAAAATCACAATTACCTCCTAGTCTTGACTCTAGCTTATTTTCTTTATTTCAAGTATAAAGATAGGCTCCTGAATATAAGGTTTAGTAGTAAATGGGGTTTTCCCCCTTTTCAGTTTGATAAACCCAAGCATGGACACATTCTATAATATTTTTCACATAGTTTAAATATTTCAACAATCCAATAAATTAGAGGTTTCAAGCATAAATATTTACTCTAGACATCCAATGTGTATTTTTATTTAAATCTCATAGCAATTAATAACCATGGTAACAGCAATAAAGAAATAAAAAACATGCTGCACTGGGAATATTTGTTGTCAAGGACCTGTCCAAAGTGCTTACAAGCAAGAATGTCAGTTTAAGGACTACAGTACACCTAATTGAAACCATGGTTATTTTCAGTCACTTGCTATGCATCTGAGAGCTGGACAATGAATAAGGATGACAGAAGAACTGACACATTAGATTTGTAGTTCTGGAGAAGAGTTTGAATATCCCATGGACTACAAAAACAAACAAATAAAAACCTATCTTGGAGGAAACAAAACCAGATTGATCCTTAGAGGCAAGGATGGTGAAACTCAGTTTCACGCACAGTCTCACATACTTTGAGCATGTTGTCAGAAGGCACTAGTCATTGGCAAGGGACAACATTCTGGATAAGGTGAAGGGCCAGAGAAAGAGAGGAAGACCCTCAATGAGAAGGACTGACACAGAACAACGAACTAGAGTATATCAGAGATGGTGAGGATAGCCCAGGACAGGTCAAGGTTCAGATCTGTTGTTGACAGGGTTGCTATGAGTCATAGTTGACTCAATGGCACTTAACAACTATTGAATGCATAAATTTTCCATTTCTGCTTTTAGTTGAAAAATGCAGGTGGCCTGGAGCCCCTTGTGGAGCTCCTGCGCTCCAAGAATGATGAAGTCAGGAGGCACGCCAGCTGGGCTGTGATGGTCTGTGCCAGCGACGAGCTGATGGCCACTGAGTTGTGCAGGCTCGGGTGAGTACTTGCTGCCTCTGTATCTGGATGGACAACAGCATCCTCCTCCTCCTTTCCTGCCCCCAGAGAGGTGTGAGCTATGCTTCCAGTCTACTGAGTGCTGGCAGCCCAGCATGCAGGCCTCGCCACAGCTCTGGAGGGCCTGCCTAGAGAAGAGGGGGCCAGTCCATGTTTTCACCTCCAGAGCTTCCTCATCACCCTTTACAAATGTCACCCTCTGCCTTTCTTTTTCCTCTTGATAAATACTTCTCATCTTCCTCTCCTTCTCTTGATACATACTACTTGTCATCTTCCTCTGTTAGTTAAAAACATCATGTTATTTGTTTTTCAACTTCCAAGACTCAACTGAAACAATAAAGCTATGAGTACTGCCTGTTTTCTCCACCAATCTCAAATTTTTTTCACCAACATTTTGTACTTACTGTCCCCAGATTGACTCTCCTTATGGACAGCATATCAGTTTGCTGTCTGTGGAATTTCAGCAAATGAGAACTGAGCTGTCCACAGGCATGTTTGTGCTGTTCATTTCTAATTATTTTTATTCTTTGCATGTGTAGTCTCATTAGGTGAAAGAGTTGAACTTGAATTTGATGTAAGTGAACAAAAAATTTCTTTCCTCTGAGAGTATCCTTTTCAGTGGTTTGAGTAATTACTACATAATACACTCTCAAAAAGGACTAAGTTGGTCTCAGAATTCCCTCAGTACTATCCAAACGGGTGGCGGAGGCCATTGTCTCATCTCAATTCTTCAGACAGGATCCTACGCAGCTGTATAAATGAGAGCCTAATGTTGGCTGTTTATATGAAATAAATAATGCTTTTTGATTTTATTAACAGGGCTTTAGATATACTTGGAGAAATTAGCCTATCACTAAGTCGGAAAAGTATATTCAGTGAGATAGCTTATGACAAATTACTCGACTACAACCTTCCACTGAAATACAGCCTGACTGGCTTTTTGTCAGCATGCAATATAATTAGTGATGGATTCCATGATTATGGCTGGGTAAGTGACAGCACTTGTTCATATTTTAGTATGCATTATGATAATTTTTTTCTTAAGCCATGTGCCCTTACCTTCCAATTTTACAGCTACCTAACATAATTTCTATGCACAAGAATTTGGAAATCATTACGTCATAAATTTCTTTTTGTACTCCTTTAACTAATACCTATTTAACCCCCAAAATCACTCCCCTCATGTCAATTCCAACTCATAGAGACCCTCTGTTGAGTATCTCTTGGAGCAGTTTGTGAATTAGAACCTCTGACTGTTGGGTTAGCAATATACCATGTAGACCATTTAACTGTAAGCTGTCAGAGCTCTGTACTAACTGATGGCTTACAGATAAATAGCCTACAAATGTTAGCCTCTAATGTAAAATATGAGCTCTGGAGGCCCAGTGGAAAGGAGCTGTCAACCTAAAGGCATGTGGTTCAAATCCACTAGCTGCTCTGCAAGAGAGGGACGGGCAATCTCCTGTATGATTTACTGCTTTTGACAATCTACTGGAGGGTTAACTATGAGTTGGTTCTGACTAGACGGAACCAAATAACAACAATGCCAAATAACAGAAAAAGGAAGGAGCATTTTTGCTTTGGGAAGTTTTCAGTGATAAGGATAGGAATATGTTTCATTTTCCTAATTTATTTAAAATGATAACATAGAATATGATTATAATTAACAACATCTATTATGATGATCTTTAGTTTAAGATTTAGTCTAATTGTTAGATAGTGGGTGAAATTGGAAGCTATAAATTCTCATCTTAGGGTGCATTTAACATGATTGCTAAGTCAACACTTTCCTCTTCTAGAAATGGAAAGCAAAAAGGAGAATAGGAAAATACAGAAACTACCATGTTCTATTTAGGCAAAACTAGGAAATTAATATGATATATAATTTTTTTAAAAAAAATTGAAAGGTGACCAGCAGCCCCAAGGACCAAGGCAAATTTGTGCAGAAGGAGGAAATTTTCTTCCATGAAAAATGTGTTAAGGGAATCAAGAGTTAGTGGCAGATCTCAAAAATTATGATAGAATAATATCCTCCCTGAGGTGATGGGAGAACTTGTTTGCCACATGAGTGCAGGCAGGCAAGAACCAGGTGAGCAAAAGTGAGAGCAGAAGCCCTCTTTGACTGATTTGGTTGAAAAAAGCAGAGGAGAAAAGTCCACAAAAGCATCACAGAGCTGTTAGCTGTGCCATGCATGCTGGCAATGCACAGTGTGACAGCACGAACTTCAAGAACTTTGGAATAAGAAGAGTTCGCTCTTCTATCTTTTCCTCTCCTCCATAATGCACAAGCCAACCACTGAGAAATTGTTCATCTAAGCAAGTCAAGCTCATTGAATGGTAAATAATTTTTAAAAAGGCACAGACCTCAATAAAAATGAGAAAGAAAGTAGATCAAAGAATATTTACACAAAAAATGTTTTAGGCCAATACAATTGTCACAAAGCTATTTGATTATAACTAAAAAAAAATCAAACCAAACAGCCCTCTGTGACGATATCTTCTATAAGGAAAACCCCCAATTCATTCATTCACCAAATGTTTCTAATGTTGGAAGCTTCCAATATGTCAAAGAACAAAATACTCAAAGATTTCTACTCCCATGGTATTTGACTGCAGTAGAAAGAGACAATAAACAACAAAAATAGTAAGAAATTGCATAGTATGATAGAACTAGTATGTGTAAAGATGACAAAAAAAGAATCAATGCCTTTTGAGTTGTGGTGCTAGAGAAGAGTACTGAAAATGCCATGGACTGCCGAAAGAACAGGTATCTCTTGGAAAAAGTGCAGCCATTCCTTGGAGACAAGGATGATGAAACTTCACCTTTCATACTTCGGACATAGAGCAAAGCAAGACTATTCTTTGGAAAGGACATCATGCTTGGAAAGAAGGAGGGTCAGTGAAAGAAAGGAAGATCTCCAACAAGATGACCTATCTGATGACTTCAGCAATGGGCTCTAGTGTATCAGAGGTGATGAGGATGGCACGGGCTAGGGCAGGGTTCAGGTTGGCTGTTCATAGGTTTCTGGTCGCTATGAGTCCTACTTGACTCAACAGCACCTAACAACAACAGTACTATGGGAGGAAAGAAGTTGAGCTTAGTCAGGATATATATAAAATTTCCTGCCTGCTTGTGCCAAGGGTGTTGATTATGGATTTTGGTCTATAGTTTAAATGAAATCTAAAACTAGGCAGAAGAATGGCATGATCGTTCTTATTTTAAAAAGACTGTTGAGAGTATCCTGGATGAGACAAAGATCTAATTCTAACTTGATTGGGGGAAGATCTCAGAAAATGATCTGATCTAAACCTCTTCCATTCAAGCTGACAGAATTTCCAGCACAGTGCTCTGTCTAGCCTGTTGGTTTGTTTTTGTGGGTTTTTAAAAATATTATGAAAGCAGTTTAAGTGCTTTGTTTCAGCATTAATTTATCTATTAGACAACATTTCTCCTCTGAGCATAGAGAGATTTCAAATTCAGGGGCTCTCAGGAGCCAAGCTGGTTATGTTGTAAGGTAGTTATGAAGCAGGAACAGTTATGAAGAAAGGGAGGCAGGGATATCTACTTGGCCTGGAAACAAGGATGCCCACCAGGTTGATTCCACTCGGGGACCTTCAGGTTCCTATTTATAATTTAGAGATTCTGTCTCTATCTTCCTCACCCTACCCTCTTTCCCTTCCTGTACGTGTGTGAAATCAGAATTGTTCAACAGTTGAGTAAATATTCTTTCATATTCACTTAAAAATTATGAACCGTGCAAGTATTACTTTTCAATCCTTCAATTATCTTACAGATAAGTGATGGAACTAAACTTCTGCCACTGAAGGAGCTCTGCTTACAAGAACCCAATAATCAGCGTACTATACTTTTAATTAACAGTAAATCTTCTGATGGGTAAGTCTTTGGGGAGAAGTTTTTCAGGGAAGCATACTTACAGATCCATTGACATGTAAATATGTAAATCTTCCCAATATCATCTTTTTTTCTTTCCTCTACATCTAGCACCACTATGAAAACAAACACTGGTCCATAAGCGGATTGCCTGACCTATGTTGAGACCGTGGAATAATCACTATCACAAGTCTAACATATTCTCTTCTCTTTTCCTGGAAAGCATGCTACCAGTCAATTTCGAATGTATTTTGCAGTCAGAGCCTCTTACCTTTCTAAAACTTGGTATAGATGAGGAAAACAGAATTAGATGGGAACAAGGCAAGATGATTTATACTGACAAGATTTCAGAGCTGTGTTATGATATAATGTTAAAATGTCTCCAGAATTTTAAAAAGATAGATAATAGAGCTGGAAAAGGAAAACTTCTATATTCTTCTTTAAAATAGTCATGTAGGTTAGTATTTCTATATTATGTGCTATGATTTCTAAAATATTTCATGTTCTAGCTCATTAAAAGCTTCATAATATTTTTATTTTATCTTCTCTATGCTTTTGAAATATATCACAGTTAAAAATCAGTACCAATTTGATTTTTAAAAAAAAAATGCCTGGTTTATGGGACATAAGCCAATATTGACAAAAATAATAAATTTTCATTTGTGCATAATTTCAAATGCGTAAATTTGTAGTTGTCCATTTTCTTCAATGGAACATAGATCTTCAGACCTTGGCTACGGATGACGCATTTCTTCCACATCTTCTTTAAGAAGAGCAAGTGCAGAAAAGATCAGGAAAAAATAAAATTCTAATTTCCAGTCTGATAACTATACCCTCACTTTCTTTTACTCAAAAAGCATTTAGATGATAGATTCTGGAAATCTAATTATTGTTATTCTTATGGTGATATAAGGCGCTCTGGTGGTGTAGTCCATAGGGAGTTGCACCGCTCACCTGAAAGCAGAGCCTCTCTGGCAGTGCAAATTCACCAGTGGCTTCTGGGGTGAAAGATGGGCAGTCTCCTTCTGTGTGATTTACAGCCTCTGAAAACCCACTGGAGGGTCAGCTGTGAGTTTGTTCTGACTCAATGGTAATAAACTGAGTTGAGTTGATGGTAGCAGAAGTATATTACTGCTTTCCAAATTTTTGAGGAAAAGGGCTGGGAAATTGGAGTTAACATCCTTTTTGCCAGGGGCCTACCTTGAGGTTTTTGAGCATGCATTTGGCATCAGACTTAGTTCCCTGTATATACAACAATGCCTGTTCTCTAAGCTTCATAGAGGGCAAAGGAATCCAGGTTTCTACTAGAAGTAAAAAGTCCTCATCAAACAAACACCTTATAAACTATACAGTGACTTAAAAATGTAATGTGTTATTATTTTCCATATGATTGAAATTCATTGTGGATTTTTTTTTTTTCAAAATGACAAGAAGAAATAGTTACATTCTTAGTGCTGGAGTTGCATCTCCTACAGAAGAGAAATCAGAACCTGCTTCTGGATGGAATACTTCTCTTAGCAAAAGTGCCACAAAAGAAAAAGGATCAAGGTAGGGAATGCATATTGTATCCTCCCAGTTATAATCCCATAAATAGCAGTGACCCGTTCAAGCGAGATATAGCTTTTTTTAATTAAATGTTATTAATTTTAGTGAACATTTACAGAGATTTTGGGTTTCCATTCATTCATTGTTAGAGACATACTATTAGTGTGTTAAGCAAGCTTCATGAAATACAAATGAAAAGCAATTTTATTTTTGTCTCTCACTGTTCCAATTTATCCAAATTTGTCATATTTCATATTTGTCCTGATTATTTTCTTGTATCAGGAAAATAATCATGTCACTCTGAGGACACTATAAAGTCCTATTAATTCACTCACTGACATAAAATTGGTTCCAGTTCACAGTGACCGTCCATTGGGTTTGTAAGGCTGTACACTGCAGCAGGAGGAAGCCGATTGCATGTCCTTCCCCTGAAGAAACACAGGTGGCTTCACACCTGCAGAGACGGAGCCTGTGGGTGAGCAGTACAGCGAGCTACAGACTATGCCATCTGAGCTCCCTCTGTAAAGTACTGTGGGCGCTTCAATTACAAAATGAGAACAGTAATTTGCACAGTGATGTTAATGGCTGCACTATTAACGGGACCAAACACAGGGAGACAATCTAAGTGCCCCTCAGTGTAAGAAGGGATACATAAAATGTGGTAAATACTACTGGGCTAGAAAGAAACTTAGTGTCACAGACATTCTGGAATATGGATGTCCTGCAGGACATTACATTGAGTAAAATCAATATAAATTATACTTCCTCACTTTTTATTAAGTACAGAAACTAATATTCATTAATAGTTATCAGTAGGGAAAGGAGCTCTAGCTTTTTAATAGTAAGCACTTGTTTTTGGTGATGAGGAAAGTAGCACCTAATGAAGGCCAAAGGTACACAGCTTGAAAAAGGTAAACTATGCCACTAAAAATTAAAGAAGATAAAAGGAATGTCTCAGAAATCTTATGGCACATAGATATATATGCATGTATATATATAATTTGGGGAGTTCTGTTGGCATAGTGGATAGAGAGCTTCACTGCTAATACAAAGGCAGCTGTTTGAATTCAACAACTGCTTGATGGGAGAAAGATGGACAGTCCTCTACTGTGCAATTATAACTTCTGAAAACCCCCTGGAGGGCCAGGTATGAGTCCGTTCTCACTGGATAAGAGAGTGGGGAGAGGAGATCAGAGAGGGAGAGAGATTTTGAAGCAACAGTAAAATGATCTAAATATATGAGCTAGTATATACGTATAAGCTGCTGTGAGTGCCATTCACTGCTCTGTGACTTATACTGATCCTGTGAACAACAGGACACCCTACCCTACGCCAGACTCACAGTCTCTATTGTGCTTAAGCCCATTGTTGTAGCCACTTCATGAAACCATTTTACTGAGAGTTTTCCTCTTTTTTTTTGGCTGATGTGCTACTTTACTAAGCATAATATTGGTCTCCAAAGACTGGCCCCTCTTGATAAAATGCTCAAAGTATGTGAGAGGAAAATTCACCTTGCTTTCTTCCAAGTTGTACCTAAGACAGATTTGTCTGTTCTTTTGACAGTTGATAGTCTTTGCCAAACCACAATTCAAATACATTAATTATCATTCAGTCTCCTTTATTCACTGTATGTGCATATGAGGGGACTGAAAAAATATGCAGCGTGGGTCAGGCACACCTTAATCTTTAAAGCAAAGTCCTTGTTCTGTGGTCTTTAAAGAGGGCTTCAGCAGCATATTTACCCATCATAATATGTTGTTTGATTTCTTGACTACTGTTTCTATGTATGTTGATTTTGAGTCCAATTAAAGTTAAATTTTTTACAACTTCAATCTTTCTCTTTATTTCTTTATGATGATGTTTCTTGGAACAATTGTGAGGGGTTCTAAAATGTTGAGATGTAATCCATGCTTAAGTCACAAATAAATTCTTTACCCCTTTTTCATTTCTGAAACATTGTGTCATATAAATGTTGTAGGATGTTAATGAGTCCTCCTCTAATCCTGATGCCACATCCTTCCTATAGCCCAACTTAATGGGCAATTTGTTCAGTATGCATATTAATAAATATGAAGAAAGAATACAACCCTGATATATTTTTCTTCACTTCGAACCATACAATCTTCCATTCTTATGTTTGAATAATTGCTTTGTGGTCTATATATTGTTTACTCACACACACATAATAAGAGCTCTGAAATTCACATTCTTCTCTATTTATACTTAGTTTATTATAATTCACACAGTAAATTCCTCCACATATTCAATAAGATGCAAACATCTTCCTAGAATTTTTTGCTTTCAACCAATATCCATCTGATGTCAGCAGTGATATCCCTCACTCCACGTCCTCTTCTTAATCTATGTTGAATTTTTGACACTTTCTTGTCCAAAGGACTGTGCCAGCCATTTTTATCTTTAGCAAGATTTTCCTTAACTACTGTATCACTGCGAGGCTGAACACTGGTGTGTCAAATGAGTTAATGATTGGCTACCCAATGCGGACAGAGAGTGGGGTGGAGCTCCCCGATTAAAACAAGCTTGGAAGGAGGAGTGGCATGCACTTCCATAATAGCTTGCCTCTGGAAACTCTATGAACCTGGAGAGAGGATGAAAGGCACCCAAGCGTCGAGGACTCTCCTTCATAGGGTCGCTATGAGTCACCTGCCACTCGACGGCACTTAACAACAACAACTGTATTTAGAGACTGTCTAATAATTTCTATTGGATCACCTTTTTTAGGACTGTTGTTGTTGTTATGTGCCATTGAGTCACTTGCGACTCATAGTGACCCTATGTACAAGAGCCCTAAACACTGCTCTATCCTGTGCCAACCTCGCTGTCTCAAACACACTCATTCCAACCACTCCACTCACAGAATCAATCCATCTCATCAAGGGTCTTCCTCTCCTTCGCTGCCCCTCCACTCTCCCAAACATGATGTCCCTCTCCCAGGACCAGTCCCTCCTTGCAACATGCCCAAAGTATGTCAGACGAAGCTTCAGAATCTTTGATTCCAGGGAACATTCTGGCTTCACCCTCTCCAGGACAAACCTGTTTGTTCTCCTAGCAGTCCATGGTATAGTCAACATTCTTCTCCAACACCACAGCTCAAAGGCATCAATTCTCTTTCTATCATCCCTATTCACTATCCAACTCTCTGATGCATAGCACGTAGCTGCAAAGACTTTAGCCTGGATCAGGCGCACCTTAGTCTCCAACCTGACATCGTTGCTCTTCAGTACTCTTGAGAGGTCCCTCACAGCTGACTTTCCCAAAGAATTTCATCTCCTGATTTCCTGGCTGCTTTTACCAAGAGTGTTGACTGTGGAACTAAGTAAATGAAAACTGTTAACTATCTCAATCAACTATTAATTGCTTCTGGTGAATTAAAAAGGGAGTTGTCCTCCAAGTTTCTTTGTGTAGAAGAGCATGCAGGTTACATCCATTTGTTGAAATGCCCCAGTTTTAGTCTCTTCATTCGTGGTGCCTTATTTTTAGCTTAGTCTCCAGTGCAGCTTTGACTTACTTAAGGTCAGTAACATTTGTTGTTGACCATCTTCTACCTCCTGAAATCGTTCGGTGCTGACCGGTTGTTTGTGATACAGTGGCTTTGTGTTCTTCAGCTTCTTTGAAATCTCCTGTTTTGTTCTCTTGCTTCATCATTTCCTCATTTCCTACCTTCTCCACGCTTTAAAACAAATCTCAGAACTTCTTCTGACATCCATTTTGGTCTTTTCTTTTAAATGACCTTTTGCTTTCCTCCTATATGATGTCCTTGATGCCAACTCTACAGCTTGTCAAGTCATCAATCATTAGTGGTCAATGCATCAATTCTATCTTGAAATGGTCTTTAAATTTAGGTGGGATCATTTTCCTTAACTTCTACTTGAATTGTCACATGCACAATGATGTGTTACACAGATCACTTCTGACTTTGTTCTGATTTATCATATTTAACTTTTTCTACTACTTTAGTCAATTTTAATCTTGGGTGTCTAATGTAATCTACCTGTATAGTCACTGTTTTTATTAAAATATTTTTAAATTGTAATATTAAGCTACTCACATATTATTTTATATAAACTTTCCTTTAACCCAACTTACTATATGTCTTTTACCTATTTATTAGTTTTCCTTTTCGTTTTACTTCCTTTTGATCATCAGTGCATCACGTTTCCAAGGCTATAAATTGCATAGGAGGAAATTTGCCATATTTCTCCTGCATAGCTGCTGGTAGATTCAAACTTCCAGAGAAGTGTGGTCTTTGGATTAGCAGCACAACTCACTCTGGCCCATATCACCAGAGCTCCCTTGATGAATATTTAAGTCTGTTTACATAATTTTGCTTAGCTTTTTCTCATAGCAGATTAGCAATAGTTTTCCATTTGTGTCTGGCTTCCTTCGCTGAATATATTGTCCTCCAGGCTCATATATATTATGTAGTGTTTTGAGAATTCTTTAGTATTTAGAGATGGATAGTATTTCATTGTAGGAATAGGCTGTCATTTGTTTATACATTCATCTGTTAATGGGTTCTTAGGTTGTTTCCATCACTTTGTGATTGCAAATAATGATGCAGTGAACACTGTTGTACATATTTCTGTTAGTGTTCCAGCTCTTATTTGAGATAATTACCTCATAGTGGGGTTGACAAATAAGATTTTCCTTCCTTACTCCCCCCTTTTTTATATTTTGTATTGGTGTTCAATCAAATTTTGTATCTTTTGTATCATTCATGTACACTGCATTTCACACATTCCTACATTGTGCATAGAAATGTGTGAAGGATGTCCTCCATTCCTTCATGCATGTTTCATAAAATTAATCACTATTGATTTATGCCCACTACCCCATCTTGTGGCTGTAATCTGCACTGCAATCCTGAAGGCATGAGGTTCTAGGCCACAACCTGCTTCATGGGAGAAAGATGGGCAGTGTCCTCCCATGTAATTAACTGCCTCTGAAAACCCGCCAGAGGGTCAGCTATGGGTTAGTTCTGA